AAAAAATTTCTTTTTTTAATACGTTATAAAATATTGCTATCGTATTCGGGCAAAAATTACCCCAATTGTAGTCCAATACGGCGGAGTTAAAAAATACTCAAAATTTAACAAGTACGGGGCTAACAAAAATTTTGTTCTTTGTTATTTTCTAAAATATGCGCTAAGCTATCGAGATGAGGCTTTCGCCACAAAATGACATAAATTTAGAACAATATGTAGTACAATAGATGAAAATATAAAATTCAAAAAGTGCAGGTTTATTTTCACAGACAGAGGAGCGACAGATTAGATTCGATATATATGTGCATATCATCGTGTCCGAAGAGTAATCTCTTTGCGACCGGCTCATCCTGCGGGACTGTGTACGTGTTCGACTCGAGATCGAGAAATAACCCGATCAAGCATTACCGACCTCACACTAGATACGTGAATAGGCTGGCCATGAACACGGAATACATTCTGTCCTTCAGCGACGACAATACGATATCCGTTTGGGATCAAAGAGCCGGACGGACCATGAAGTCTATCACAGTAATGTCAATTTTTAACTTCGAGAAACGAGACACGATGTCGAAGGTGTACTTTTTAGTTTCCAGGTGTAACGTACCCCACGGTCCCCACGTGTATAAATATGCGACGGGATTTGGTTTTCGTTGGAACCAAAGACACATTCTGCTCTAAATCCTTGAAGTTGCACGTGCTAAATCCAAAGGACGATTTCAAGATAGTGAAATCTTATTCCACCAAGCATACGAATAATATAACGAGAGTGCATCTGACGCACGGATGCCTGATAACAAGTTCCATGGACGGCACTGTCAGAATTTCGAGCCTTACGGATCCGTCAAAGCCCATCGCTACTTTACGTTCAGAGATGAGACATATCTTAGACGTAAGTATCGCACGTATAGGATTTGCGAAAAATATCGTATCATTGACTTTGAAGAAAAAATTTGTTAAACATCAACATGTAAAATAAAAAAATACAGTTTGATAATTAAATTTTTACTTACATTTAAACTTTGAAATCAGATTTTATCGTTGTGTTCCGAATGTAAGTAATCCTTAAAATTGGCAACATTCTTACAAGTCTTATCAATATCGTGAATTTTGTTGAATATTGTAATTGTAATTGTTCGTGTGTTTTATGTTGCAGATGGACTATCGAAATGACACTCTCGCAGTATCCGGTGAAGGTATCGAGGTATGGTGTCCGAAGTTGACGTGTTCAACGAAACAACAATAAATGGAAAGTTTCTATACGTGATCTATAGC